GCCAACTACGTGAGCTACCACTAACAAGGGAGGGTCATCTTTGTATTTTTTTTTTCGTTGTTAGTACAAATATCCTGCTTTTGTGGCATTCTTAGTAGGCTTCTTAAATTTAGTGCGAAAATTGCTCCTGCCAGCCCCCACTATCCAGAGTCACATTACTTACTACTCTTCGTCTTTTGTCAAAGAACATAATTTTATTCGTTCAGCGAACTGGGAGCGCAGAGAAAACACAAAGGACGAAGCGAGGAACCACACAACACGAGCGCTCAACTAACAACTGATTTATAAATCAGTTGTTAGTTGAGCGCTCGTGTTGTGTGGTTCCTCGCTTCGTCCTTTGTGTTTTCTCTGCGCTCCCAGTTCGCTGAACGAAGAAAATGAATTACCAACTGGCCCACATTTTGATCCTTTTGCAACATAATTTTAAACATTATATTTTGGAGTTTCACTTTCAAAACAACGATGAATTATGCGCCATAGTGGAGGGTTTTATATTAACTTATACCCCCTAGGATAGTATGATATGCTTTTACACGAAAGCACGTAGACACAATGATACTATGCGTGTTTGTTGCGACAGTGTCGCGGTTACAGCACTTGGATGCTAACTTCAAGGTCTTGGGTACAATCTTTGCAGTGGCAGTCCCATTCGGATAGAGGTATGATGCTAAAGGTACATATGCGGTATATGTGCACCTTAAATACCTCCAAATGGTAAAAATTGCCAGAGCCCTCCACTATGGCAACCTCACAATCATTTCATAGCGTATAATTATTATTATTGCAGTTGTTATTATGCCTCCATCAAAATGTGGCTTCCTCAGCTGTGATTTCATTTTGCCTTCTCATGTTCAGCGCCAGAACACCTTGGCTGTCTGAGCCAGTGCATTATGTGGGAATAGGTTGTTGAGTAGAGAACTTCCCTTTCTCAATGGGTACGATTGACAGCAAAAAACAATTGTATCGGGCCAGTTGGTATGAATCCACCTTGGTAGGAAGCGCAGCAACTATTACACAGAACACACAACACAAGCGTTTAACTTCAGCTAAATGTTTATTGCAAACGACACAGTTTATAAAGGGGGTGAAAGAGAAAAAAAATAATAAAAGGCAGACCAACAAAAAGCACTCGTCCAAGTCCCGTACATCACTTATCTGTTATTATCTCTCACCCTATCCAAAAAAACAAAGTTCTTTCTGCGTGAGCGAGATAGAGGGTGTACTAACACACTCAAAATCAAGTTAAGCGCTTGAGTTGTACGTTCTGTGTGATAGTTGCTACACTTCCTACCAAGATGGATTGACAGCAAGGTTGAATTTAGTTTTTCTCAGTTACTTTTAATAATTTTTGCTTTCTTTTGACAGGTTTCCTGTGAGTGGTATGCACGTAGTGGGACAATAGCATTTTATAGAGGCATTTGCTTTTTTTTTGCATTTGCTTAAAGAAAACCTCCTAATTTAACAGGTCACCTCCAAGGCAATATGAAGACGTCAAGGCATCAGTTGAAGACATGGATGGGCACGACCCCTACTGAATATGATAATACCCTGATACTCTCGCATCTAATGGGCATGTAATGTATTGCTTTGTTATATCACAGCTTCTTTTCTTCTCGTTTGTAGTATCTCCCGTACTTGTCTATTCATATTTCTTCACTATTCGATTCCGGTTTATATGTACACTTAAACATGCTTATGTATGTAAGCAACGTCTAGTCACAGTGCGTAATGTATGTGTTTTGTGCTTTGTTCTTAAATTTGGAAATGTGTATGGAATAAAGTTGGCTCAGTATTTCCCTAGCACAGCGGACATTTATTGAAAGTTTTGCGATTTCAGAAGTTCAAATCATGTGTAAGTTTTTCTATGGTTTCAGGTGCTAATATGATTATTTCTTTTCGGAAACGTGCTATGGTAAAAAAATTGTGTGTCCTTTGGTCTAATTTCAGTAATTTTAGTGCGAGTCCAGAAGAGCTAATTTAATTAGCCACTGAAAACTTATTCATGGTTTGATCTTCCAAAATTTCAACTTCAGAGAGTAAAAAAAAAGGACTATAAAAGACTGCTTTTAGAAAACACCCTGAATAAAAGACATCCCTTAATCTCCCTGTCATGTACACAGTGTGTCCTACTAGGCGTGTTTGGGACTTGCATAGGATAACCCTGGGTTAAGGAAAGCGCGGCCAAATCGACTTTCAAGAGATCTCGGACAGAGGTGTCCCGGAAAGGCAATGAATATCTGATATCCAGTCAGGGGTGTCCTGTGGACGTCCCTAGCATTGTCATTGTTGTCACTGGAATCAAACCTCACAAAACAGCAACAAAAAAGAAAAGAAAAAGTGAAAGGAGTAGGACGTGGGCTCCTCCGTTCCTGCTCTCCGAGCCGACGCTTACGCGGAGAAAGCATGAGAGAGAGAAAGAGAAACGAAAAAAAATCCGTTTCGCAAGTGGGAGATTCCGCAGCCCACACTCTCTCGCCCTTGCCTTTTTTCGAGCGTTTCGGGTTTTAGTGGAGGCGTGGTGCCGCATGGGTATAGGTCGCTGGGCGCTGCTGCGTGTGCTAAAAACACGCCTTCCAACTCGCTCGAGGAGCCGTGCTGCCAAGAAAATCGCTGGGGGTGGGGGGGCAAGTGCTGAAGCGCACCTTTCAGCTTGCACAGCATTCGATATATCCGAAGACGGGTAAAAATACCGTTCGACGTAAATGTGTGAATTTCTCTAGTTTTGCAAAGGAATTTCAAGGGGATAACTTGCGAGTTCAATATACCTGAAAATTTGATATATGTGGGTTTGATATAACTGTGTTCAACTGTAGTTCTCATACGCATTCTTTTTTATGCTTCTCGCTTACCTATCATTGTGTCATGGTAACAGTGATGTTCTAAAAATTGTGAAATTGTACTTTACTAATACGCAAAAAATCGTTCTGCGCTTCAGTGTCCTTTTAAATGTGCTATGCCTTTCTTATGGCTTTTATTGCGGTACTGAAATGTCAGTAAACGTGTTGTTTTCTTGCTTGATGTATTCTTTCATGTTTGCACTCGGAAGCAACAGTTACAGTATTTATTCAATCTAAGCTGATGGTTTTTTTGAATTTCTTTGTATCACAGGGTCGTCTTAGATTTGAGGATTTTTAAAGAATGTGCCATTTTTCTTCTACAAAAGTGATGCGAAGCTAACACCACCTAGACATTATTGTAGCCATTAGTAGCCAAGCCAACACCTGCTCTAGTACACACGCAAAGCCGCCATATTTATCTATGTGGCGAGCCATTTGTCGCTTCGAGTCTCACTTCGAGTGAGCTGCATGTGGCGTAGCTGAATGGCGTCAAACAAGCGTAGTCATTATAGTTAGGCGTATAAAAGGAAAGGTGTGCTAGCCATGGAGTCGTCCCGCAACATTCAAGCCGAGCGGCACTTAGGAGTAAAGGAAAAGAATGTTCGTCACTAGAGGGGCCAACAGGAGAAGGACTTCGCGTGTGCCACAACGACGATGGCTTTTACCAGTCCACGAAAAGGCTGTTCCCCTGAAATGCAGACGGCATTGGCCGACTTCGTTTAGATGCAGCGAGCACCTGCATTCCAGTGACAACGCATGTGCTCCAGGCGAACCCAAGGGAGCCTTCGAGGGAGCGAGGCGGCAGACTTCAAAGCCAGCCGAGGCTGACTGTATAAATTCATGAAGCGCTTTGGCTTCGGCCTTCGTCGTCGAACCTCAATCGCCCAAAAGTTACCAGCTGACTATTAAGAGAAGTTGCTGGAGTTCTAGCGTTTTGTGCTTCGAAAGAAAGCAGCAAGAGCATATCTGCTAGGCCAATTCGGCTACGCGGACCAAACGCCGGTGTATTTTGATATGCCGGTGGCGTACACAGTCACTGAAAAACGGGTCAAGGAAGTGAAGGTGCGCTTGTAGAGATGCTGTGCTGCTCAGCAGATGGGCACAAGCTCCCTCCTTATATCATCTTTAAGAGAAACATACTGCCAGTAAAAAAAGCCTTCCCGCAAAACGTCATTGTGCGAGCCAACAAGAACGGCTGCATGACTAGCGCCATGGTCAAGGAGTGGCTGAATATCATATGGTGGCGGCGTCCAGGCGCTTTTCTGTGCAAGGATTCTTTCCTTGTTCTGGACTCGTACCGCAGGCATTTGACCGACAGCATCAAGGCTGCGCTGGCTGTAGTGGACACCGGCCTCGCCGTGATACCGGGTAGAATGACGGGCCAATTGCAGCAACTTTTTTTTGCATTAACACTGTCCAAGGATTGCCTGTGGGGATTATAAACGGACTGGTTAAGCACCGAAGATCGACAGCTGACCCCGACAGGCCGCATCAAGTGGGCATCACTGTCTCAGTTGGCAGGTTGGTTGGCTGCAGAATGGGGCGACATCCCAGGAACTTTGATCGTGTGCTTTTTCAAGAAGGGCGGCATATCAAATGCGCTTGATGGCACCGAGAATGGCGCACTGTTTGAGGCCAGCGACAAAGAGATCGGGGACGACGACTCAGGATGAGCACGGAATCTTGATGGTGAACCAACGGCTCTGTTTCATCTTCATATATTTCAATAAAAGTTTTCTCTTTGTGAATGCAGTCTTTGCTTCTTACCCAACCTCAATTTGAGGCAGATTTTTTTGGGGGGGGCTTCAAACTTTACAAGGGTTGGCTTACGATTGAGGTCAGACTAGATTCAAGTAAACACGGTATGCAGAGCCTTTTCTCTCTTTTTTTTTTTACACCACTTCTTGCTGTTCACTGTAGTCAGCCAAAGGGGGTGACCTTTTAAACTTCGATCATGATAATGCTTATTTTTGTGAGGGTTACACAGACTGATGCGAGTTCCCATGACCTGGCCAGGTTTCCCCGAAATTCCCTAACATTTTTAGAATGGTGCAAGTTGCCCTACTTTTCCAGGTTGGTAGACACCCTGTTATTCCAACTTGTGCGACCTTGAATTGTTTGGTCAGACAACACATATAAATAAATAAAAAGTCAAAAGCTCACCTTGAGTACGGTGTCACCTTCTTGCAGAGTGCCATCTCGCTCAGCCAGAGATCGATTGCAAACTTCTTTCACAAAGATACGGCAGCCGAGCACAATGCCAAAGTCTGCAAAAAGTATTATCGTGCTATTGACATCAAGGCACATGCATTTTTGTATCATCACATCCAGAATGAGCTAGAGAAATTGCTGCTCATCCCCTGCCGTAAGTCATACATAAGTGGCTTTCATGTGACATGCTGCACGTATTAAATTTCTCACAGAAGTAGCCACAACATTCACTAAATGAGAAATGAATGTGCATGATGCAATTGAGGGAGTGGTACTACTTAACTGCAGGTGCATTGCCTAAGTGAGAGGGATAATATTTTAAAAATGTCACCCTTAACTGAAGCACTTTTCCAACTGAATAACATGCACCCAATTCCAGTTTTTTCATACACAGGACTACCGATGCTCCTGCTGCAACATGTCGCCGAGATGTCCCGAAGCTTGCAGGAGGCCGCAGTTGAGCTCCCACAACCTCTTGTCGTATCTTTTCGTCTGTTCATCGTAATGAGCTCCGCAAGACAGCTGGATACCGTACACAGGAATCTTTGAACATTCAACGAACCTTCTTGCATGCAAAATAATTTTAACGAAAAGGTACGTGGAAGTGCGTAGACCCGACTTGGTTCCTTCATCAGGGGGGACTGGGGCTACTTTGCAACGGTGTCTTCAAGGCACTCGCGGGCCGGTTATTGACCCCCCCCCCCCCTCTGTCGTTTTTGCCGTGGCGCGTAGTCCGTATCCATACACCGGAGGAAGTGTTCTGAGAAAACAGTTCATGTTTTGGGCCATCCGCTGTATATGCCATGACTTGAGTAGTAACCTTGTCCTCCAGTTAGTCTCGTTTTCAAGGATGGTCATTGCGTCAAAATTTATCCGGTGGTCAAACATCTCGGAATGCTTGGCGACGGCACTGCACTCTTAGTAGAGCTTCCGGTCTTCCTGCATGTTGTTTGAGTCGTTTCAGTAGGTTTTTTTTTTGTCTCGCCAATATACGAAGAAGGGCACTCAGTGTACAGGATTTTGTAAACGACACCAGGGGTCCTGTCCTCTATCGCCCAGTTTTTTTGGGTGGGGAAGGAGGCGGCCCAGCATACATGAAGGCACATACGTGATGCGAAATCCCCCCCCACCTTTTTTTTTTTAAGACCTGCGTCAACATCTCGCTGATTCCTTGGGCGTATGGGACGGGTACGCGTTTCCAAGGGCTGCCAATTAATGCTGATTGGGATGATATAAATTCATTTCATCCTGCTTGCCACAAGCCCTCGGTTGTGATCCCGTTAATCCATAAAGCCAAGAACTCACTCCAACAACACGGAGCGAAAGAAAGAAGAGGCCCATGTAATTGCAGACCTCAGAAAAAAATGAATACCCTAAAAACTTCATGCGAGCCGTCACCCACTGCACAGAACAATAGAGGATACGAACAACCTAATCAGTCCTGACACCGGCAGCGGCTCAAATGATCCGTGTGGCCAATGGCGGCACGCTGATGCTTCTTGGTCTGTGTACTGCCCGCTTAGTATAGTCGACCACACTGATTCTGTCATTTTTGTCGTAATTCACCACTGCCGTTATGACGTTACCTTAGGCCTGGACTTCTTGTCGAGTCATTCTGCTCTTATAGATGGTGTTAGTGGCATCCTTCAGCTAGAGCTGCCTCAGAAAGTCGCTACTACCCACACTGCTTTGTCACGACTGTGCTCTCTTCAGGATGTGCAGCTGTCACCTCATGCAGCAACCTACGTCGTTTTGACTGCACAGCCACAGGTTCCTGATGGACAATATGTCCTTCTTGCCCTCACCGAAGTCCTTTTGAGTCACAATGTTGCCATTCCCCATACGCTTGTGACAACTGCACCTTGCTCTCACTTCTGAATTTCAGCTTGTGTCCACAAGTGCTTCCTCGTGGCATGTTCCTGGCCAATATATCTAATGCTGACAAATTCGAAATTGCAGCTTTCACCACCAAGACTGATTTACTTCAGCCTCCTGTAGCTAATAGCAACTGTTCTCTACCGGACTGTTTATCAATGATTGCACCCGACCTCAGCCCTGCACAAGCCAACGACATCCGTCGCCTTCTTGCGTCATATACCAACGCAATTTATTTCAACGACAGTTCAATGTCGGTTCTTCTGGCCTGAACTGTACCACAGCGTGCGTCGATATGTCACCACTTGCTACCTAAGCCAGCGCCGCAAAAGACCTTCTTTGCTACCAGCTGGATATCTTCACCCAATTGAAGTTCTCTTTGAACAATTTCATCGCGTGGGACTCGACCATTTTGGCCCTTTTTCGACGACGACACTAAGAAATAAATGGATCGCTGTCGCCACAGATTATGTGACCCGTTACGCAATAGCAATGGCCATGCCATCCAGTTGCGCCACTGGCATTGCGGATTTTCTTCTTCATGATGCCATCTTGCACCATGGTGCACCCCAGCAGCTGCTTACAGACCGTGGCTGCTCTTTCTTGTCCAGAGTTGTCGACGACCTCTTTCGAACGTGTGCCACAAAGCACGAGCTATCTACCACCTACCACCACAAACTAATGGCCTAACTGAACGTCTTAACTGCATGCTCACAGAAATGTTTTCAATGTACGTCTCCCAAGATCATCTAGATAGGGACACCACATTGGCTAATGTGACTTTCACATATAGTTCCTTTCGACAAGACACCGTGAGATTTTCACCTTTTTATCTTTTGTATGGTTGCGACCCTATATTGTCATTTGAAACCACTTTGCCTTTTGTGCCATCTGCTACAATGTAAACTCATGAAGCCATTGATCGGGCTCACGTGACTCGTCAAGTTGCCCAGTCTCGTCTCCTCAGATCACAGAATATGAAAAAAGCCTGCTACGACCACCGACATCGCAATATAAAATTTCCCCAGGTGATCGCGTGCTCCTCTGGTCACCATGTCGCCGTGTAAGTCCCTCCAAAAAACTCTTGTCCTGCTATGCAGTACCCTACGAAATCATACGTCAAGTGAGCAACGTGAACTACGAGCCAGCGCCATTGCACCCAGATACGTCACCAAGTTTATCACCTGTTGACATTCTCCATGTTTCGCGGATGAAGCCTTACTTGTCTTGCACTTCTCCGGACTCGCACCGAGATTGCACTTCAACACCCGGGGGTTCTGTTACAGAGATGAAATGCAGAAGCTAACAAGCCTGCAAGCGTGTCAATCAGCCATCGTAACTCTTGCCTGTGCTTTTCCTCTGTAAATATATCTTGTACATCAGCCACCAACACGCTAACAATATCTTCCCATTTTGTGTAATTAAAATGTGTTTGTCATGCTGCTTCTAACTCACGTCTCTCTCAATTCCATCCACTGCAAGCACTCCCGAGATGATCGTGACAAGTCCTGTACAACGACTTGCCATTCGAGACAAAACACCATTTGCCTAATCTGATGTTCACCCAGCGATAAGGCCGCTAACGCGTACTCAGAGTCATAAGCACCGTTGAAATATACTTGCACTGAATCACAAAAACAATAAAGAAAAGTGGCAGGGCTCGCAGGCACAGGGCAACGCATTTCTAAATTACAGGGTTCCATGCACACAAAGATTTTAAGAAATATCTTCCTTTGCGTGTAAATTTTAAAATGAGCGCCATACAAATTCGCCCCCCTTCCCAAACTGTACTTTCGTCTCAACTCGCACGACAAAAACTACTCATGGCACAAAGTCATCGGTGGACACAATGTGCCTACGCCCTCTTTTTATGCAGAGCGGCAAGTGTCAGCACCTAACTCTTTCTTACTCCGTGTGTTCTTACCCATAATGTACTGCGCAAGAGATGGACTTAAACACGAAGTAGAGAAAAAAGACAGACAAGAGCAGACTATCAACTGAAGCTTTATTGTAAGACCACGGCAATATATAAAGAAAAGGATAAAAAGCAAAAAAGGGCAAAGGGGATAGGAAAAAGAAACGAGGGACCAAATCAGCAAAACCTAGGCCACCACAAGAACAGCACACACGTCATACAAAACCTAAAAAGCTCAACTCATTATCACGTATGGCCACAGAAGCAATACTGACGCACGACTCAGAAGTCTTGTGAATATGTGCAGCCTCAATAAGTTCGCCCACTCTTTGGTTTTTGTACCGAAGCAGCACAGAAATATCATTAAAGAGCGGCATGCAGCCACATTCACTACAGTGGGCTGCCAGATGAAGGCCGGTGTGGGCTTTCAGAGAACTAAAATGTTATCGAAGTTTAACATGCACACAGCGACCTGCCTGACTCAGGTATACACGATTGCATGACAAGGGTATGGAGTGGACAACACCAGTGATAATTGATACATAATTATGAATATGACTAACCTTGCATGTATCTTGCTGGACATATATCTGATTCCCAACTCGTCTATCTACTTTGGCACATAAGGTGGATAACTTGTTTCTGGCAGAAATAACCGCTCGGACGTCATATCTTGATGCCACCTTTTTTGGCAGTGGGTAAAACCATAAACATATAAAAGAACAGCATATTTCTTGTGCTGTGCCTTCTCAACCAAGTTGCAACAAACACCAGGGCCTCTTTTTATTTTCTCAATTAACTTCTCGCAGACCTTCAATAATACATCTCGTAGGAAGCCTGCTTGTCTCAATTTTCGGACTTGCCCAGCAATACTTTTTTCAGTGAAGAATTTCTTCAGTGCAAAGCAAAAACAAGAGAGTGCAACGGCATTTTTAACCAGTTTCGTATGGAGCGATTTATAGTCCAGCACAGGTTTCACAGACCTAGGGGTGTAGCACCAAGACGCATGTGTGTGCGAGAACTGTAGCTTAAGATACAAAAATTAGATGCATTGTTCTTTTAAGTATTCCGAAGTGAACTTTAGGCCAAGACCACACTGCTCAAAACACTTTAGAATACCTGCCAACATATCTTCAGTTCCCTTACGAAAAAAAAATGATGTAGTCATCGGCATAACGAAAAACTCTCGTTACTGAGGCCTGTAATATCAGTTGAAGCACCCAATCAACTCTACTCAAAAAAATATTGCTTAATACTGGTGCCACCCGAGATCCAATACATACACTATTCACCTGCAGGTACACCTCACCTAGGAAATAAATAAATAAAGACCGCAGGTAAGAGAACAAAAGTTCTGTGAAATATTCAACTGATATACCACTTAAACCTATGAAGGCAGGTTCATCATTATGACACGTAATGCATTTCTTCACTGCAGTCAAAATGTGATTATGATGTCGAGAATAAAAGGGGTCCTCTACATCAATGCTCCCGGTATCACAATTAACAAGGTTGTATCACGCAGAAGTTGTACAATCGTTTCTCCGAGTTAGGTGCGATGGTCATCTATATATATAGAAAGCACAAGCAAGTCTGCAAGAAACCAGACAAACAAAACTGCCACGTGTCACGTTCCGTGATTATTGTGCAAAAAGGTATACCAATCTTGTGCGTTTTTATAATGCAAAATACCTCCTGATGCGATTTGTTCACTTTTTTTTACAGACTGCGCAACTTTCTGCAGGTTCGTGTCCAACAAGAGGGCTACAGCTTGTTTTTTTCCTTTCTGTCGGCTTGACAGAAGTAATCCGGAAATTTTTCTGCACAGCCTGTAATGCCTTCTTGCAATACATGCCTTCCAGCAAAACAACGAACTGACCTTCTTTGCCAGAAACAAGTAATCTAAGTTGATATAAAATCGACCATTCCTCCAGTTAAAAAATGGCCCTGGCCTGCCCGTCGTCCGAACTATAGCACCCATACACTCTCCAATGCACCGCTCTTTTTCATACTCAGGTACATAGAGGGAAATATCATGCAAAAAACTGACATTTTCTACATTCAATAGGCAAAGCTCAAAAGCAAACTTAGGTCCTAGCTCAAGAACCTGCCTGTGTTGGTGCAGAAGATGCACATTCCCCAATGTGACAACATGGTCGTTTGAAGCAGAAGTCTTTTTAAGTAGAGGCAACGACAGGCGGACTATATTCCAGAGCGCCTCAGTAGCTAGGTCGGCGGTAGCACACCAATGTCTGTGGAATCCATTCCTGCGAAATTGGTGGGTCGGCGCACCAGTCCTCACTACACCATACACTGAGGTAATCCTTGTAGTACCGAACCTGACGCCACCACTCCGAGCACAAGATGTGGCATAACAGCCTCGAGTGGCCTGGGCAGGGATGCATCCACCCACACCAGGCTTGAAGCTCGGTTGGGCACGTGCCATCTCTGTTGTGCCAACAAGCCGTGCAAGCCTTCACAACACCGACGGTGATGAGCGAAGTCGGGACGACCGGATCATTAACAGGAAAATTAACACAAGGAAAAGAGCCCGACATGGGAGAAATGAACTTCAGAAGAATGGCTAGTTGGGTAAGATGGTACTGATTCATAATGTGCTGCACAAAAAACGGACGGAAACCCGAAGTAGAAAAAAAGAACTGACAAGTGCAGACTATCAACTGAAGCTTTATTGCAAGACCGAGGCAATATATAAAGGAAAAAATAAAAAGCAAGGTAGGGCAAAGGGGTAGGAGAAAAAGGCACAAGGGACCAAATCAGCAAGAGGAATAGCACGCATGTCATCTTATCTAATGACCAATGCATACCATTTTTGGATCTTCCACTACGATTCTCGCCCACACATGTGTCTTAGTGCTACAAATCTAGGTCTGTGAAACTTGTGCTGAACTATATATCGCTCCATACGAAACTGGTTAAAAATGCCATTGCACTCTCTAGTTTCTGCTTCAGACTGAAGAAATCCTGCACTACAAAAAGTTTTGCTGGGCAGGTCCAAAAACTGAGACAAGCAGGCTTCCCATGAGGTGTGTTGTTAAAGGTCTGTGAGAAGTTAATAATAAAATAAAAAGAGGCCCTGGTGTTCGTTGCAACTTAGATGAGAAGGCCCAGCACAAGAAATTTTCTGTTCTTCTATATGTTCATGATTTTACCCATTGCCTAAAAAAGGTGGCATCAAGATATGACGTCCGAGTGGTTATTTCTGCCAGAAACAAGCCGTCCACATTATGTGCCAAATTTATTTATTTATTTATTTATTTATTTATTTATTTGTTTATTATTTATTTATTTATTTATTCATTCATTTATTTATTTATTTATTTATTTATACAATACTGCAGGCCTAGGGCGGCCCAAGCAGGAGTGGTTTGTTTGTATATCAATGATGAAAACCAGATTTAAACAAAAAAAAGAAATACAAATTGAGAGCAAGACGAAATAAGCAATGAACAATCGAAGAAAACACCAGAGAACAGGAGAGGACTGATCACTGCATATTTCAGACATATGGCACATAAGAAGGTAAAAACCAAAACAGGAAAAAAAAAGAAAAAAAAGAAAAAAAAACGAAGCAAGGCAGCAATGATCATAACAGTAGCGTAGCACAGATTTTACACAACTAGATATGGGAAACCAATCACAGGATAAAGGCACCGTTACAAATTTATTCTCCGAGCTGGTTAAACAACTGAAGAACATTATTTGATAAGAAGGTTTCAGATGGTAAGGCATTCCAATCACTTAGGGTGCGCGGGAAAAAGGAATGTTTGAATTTGTTTGTGCGTGCAAAAATCGAGTTAAATTTAAAAGGGTGAAAGTTCCTGGTGGGTCTATGGGGCAAAAGGTTTAGATAAGGAGCGGGGTCGAGTGCAAGTTTACGGTTCCAAAGCTAATAAAGAAATTTTAGTCTTGTTATTTTACGGCGGCTCTGTAAGGTCATGATGTTGATAGTTTGCATTAAAGAGGTAGGCGAGTCATGTCGGCGGTAACGATTATATATGAACCGTACAGCCAGCCTCTGAATTTGTTCAAGTTTGTTAATGTCTTTTTTAGTGAACGGGTCCCAAACGATACACGCGTATTCAAGATGAGGCCTGATTAGCGTGTTATATGCAAGAAGTTTAACATGAGAGGGGGATTTTTTTAGTTTGTGACGTAAGAGGCCGAGCTTACGCCGAGTTGATGCACAGATTTTGTCGATATGCATTGACCAGGTTAGATTATTTGTAAGTGTTAAGCCGAGATATTTAAAGCTATTGGTTTGAGAAATTTCGACTCCCTTTACAGAGTAATTGAATATAAGAGGACATTTTTTATTAGTTATGTGCATGTACACCGTTTTAGTTTGGTTAAGCTTCATTCCCCAAATGTCGCACCAATTAGATATTAAATTCAGGCTGTCGTTGAGGGTAATTTGGTCATTAGTTGATTCAACAGCTCTGTACAGAAGACAGTCGTCCGCAAATAAACGAATAGCAACGCTTTCGTGCACACAAGAGGTTATGTCGTTTATATATACCAGAAATAATAAAGGCCCCAGGACACTTCCCTGAGGCACTCCGGAGTTAAAAGTAGATAGACGAGTCGCACATCAGATGTATGTCCAGCAAGATACATGTGATGTTAGTCATATTCATAATTATGTGTCATGTATCACCGGTGTTGTCTACTCCACACCCTTGCCATGCAATCGTGTATACCAGAGTCAGGCAGGTCTCTGTCTAAATGTTAGACTTCGAGAACATTTTAATTCTCTGAAACGCCACTCCGCCTCCATCTAGCAGCCCACTGTATTGTATGCGGCTGCATGCCGCTCTTTAATGATAATTTTGTGCTGCTTCGGTACAAAAACCAAAGAGTGGGTGAACTTATCGAGGCTGCGCATGTTCACAAGATTTCAGAGTCGTGTGTCAGTGTTCCCTATGTGGTCATATGTGATAACGAGTTGAGCTTTCTAAGTTTTGTATGACGTGTGTGCTATTGGTGACATGGCCTAGGTTTTGCTGATTTGGTGCCTCGTGCCTTTTTCTCCTCCCTCTTTGCACTTCCTTGCTTTTTATCCTTTCCTTTATATATTGCCTTGGTCTTACAATAAAGCTTCAGTTGATAGTGTGCGCTTGTCTGTCCTTTTTCTCTACTTCATGTTTCCATCCATTTTTTGCACAATACATTATGGATCAGTACCAACTTGCCCAACTAGCCATTCTTCTCCGTGTGTTACACTTAACATCCACTGCTTCGCCCACTCATGATCATTCACTCCATAAATATGCAGTGTTTTCTTCATTTACTTTAACTTGACTGCAACGGCCTGTCTTTTAATCACTTTGTTTAAAAATACAGATTTCTGTCTCTCGGTGCTCACGACAACCTAACTGAGAACAGTTAATTCATTTTTTACACGTGTTGTCTAGGATCAGAATGTTCATCTAGTACATTTTGTCGAAAGACATGTTAGTGTAACCACGGATGTGAGCTCCATTCAACTTCCAGGCAGACTTCCATGTGCACATGCTATAAAATACGAGAAAGACCTCTACCGGAACTGAGTCATCTTTTTAAAAACTTGTAATGAAGCGTTCCCATATTTCAGTTTGTTTATTCAGCTACACCAACTATTATCAAAGTGCTAACACAAAGAAGCTCAGCTGATCCAAACAGCCCTCTTGATTTATGTCAGCTATAGGAAAATACTCTTTAGTGACGTCGGATAACCGCATTTAACATGCAATCACAGACGCCTACCCACTGACATAAGTGAGAACCGGCCTCTGTTTGAAAAGAGAGCACCTGAGAAAACAGCAACTTCACACTCTGCTTGTAGCCTTTACACGGCGTGCATGGCTGCAATATTTGGCTGAGCAGTTCATGGCGATATCTGCTTCGCACAGGGTGTCTTTCTTTCAACCAACCTAAGAGGTGTCTCATGACCCCTTTAAGAAAGTGAAACGAGATTTTCCTCTGACCATAATATGGTCTACCTAATGAAAAGATAGAAAGGTAGATATGTTAAGCTCATTGAGTCAGTCATTCTCAGCACACCGTACACATTCTCATCAATAGAGAGTTCAAGTGATGCTTCAAACAAGCGATCCATAGTACATACCATCTTTCTTCTTGGTTCTTGTCAAGGTTACTCGCACCGACTCCGCATGGCCTAGGATGACACGGCGTTTGATCACCTGTATGGCAAAAAAACGAGTGACTACTGCAATGAACAGGTCATGGCAAGACAGCCATTAGGGCTAGGTGACCCTTCCAGAATGGGTCATAGTTGGCATTCTGTTAGCTATTACTACAGCTAGTTGAAACCCCACTATCACGGGTAAAGGGGACACAAAGCATGTGCCAAATGGTTGCAAGTGGCAATTGCGTGTGCAGCACCAGGGGAGCAACAACTGAAATACAATTTGGAGCAATTTTTGGAGCAGCAAGATGTTACTTTTAGAGCACAAAATTCCAAATTTGTAGCAGGTTATGGAAAAAAACATGCATTTTTATCCGGAAGTACCAAATTTGGAGCATTATAAAAAAGGAGGCTTACATTAAGGAAAAGAAAGTGTTTCAACCATTCAACATCACCTAAATTGTGCTGTGTGAACATGGGCACTGCTATTTCAATGAAAGCAGTACTTTGAACCACCCAGAATCATAAAGTCCATCTTAGCCTTTGCTACGCCTGTCAAATCTTTTGACAGACTCTGCGAATTCAAGTATAAATCTGCCAAGCTCACGAACTTGGAATTTGGGAGATTCGTAAAACCGAGGAGTAGAGGTGGTGAAAGAAGAAAACTGGTGCACAATTTAGTTTTTTTTAAGGAAGCAGGAATTTCATACGCTGCTTCAAATTATTGCCAGTAGCTTATTTAGACATCAGTAGCTATACTGGTACACAAAATTATGCGGTGTACAAACGCATGAGTAAATGAGCTCGGCGCAACGATCGGGTATTGTATCGAATTGGCGCAATTCGCGCAGCTGTTGCACCCCTGAGCACAAAAAAATACTTGATGCTGTGCAGCACTGCCATGTCCGCAAATGCAATTGGTGGGCGGAAGGCTTGTGGTATGCGACCTGAGCCATGGAGGTTGTCACAAGTGAGGAAATGGCATATGGACAATAACAACAAAGAAGGAGGCGCAGGAGCACTAAGAAAAGGCCCGAGCCAAGCATGGAGTAGCACTCGGCTCGGCGCGTGCGACACGAGGTATAATAGAAGATTACAGCTTAACGAGCTGGCATTGTTTAGGTGTCTGCGGTACAAAAAGGTGGCACCGGCAGCTTCGTCCTGCCGGTGGAAAGCAGCCATCGTCTCCTTCTGGAGGCTGTGACATTGGCACTCCGTTGCTTGGCCATTGACCTCAAGAAGGCTGAGGCAAGGCTTCCAGAGGTGCTGCAGCACCTTGTAGCAGTTGCGGGCGCACCAGCAGCAGTCCCCCTTTTGAACGACAGCCAGCAGTGATCCCCGAGAAGCCAGATAAATACTTCAAGCAGATCGCACTAGGCCTAGCTGACAAAGCAAAGTGTGGGCCATGCAGGATAGCTTGTTGGTTTAGAGTGCTTGGTCATGTTAGCTTCGTGTTTTTAGAAGGGGGCATTTTTCCTCCCAGGTTGCGGCTTCGTTGTGGCTTCGTTGCATGCTGTCATTTTCATAAATTGCTTGTTCTTCACAAGATAGTTCAGTAGAAAGTCAGCACTCATTTTCGTTCACCTCGTTGTCTTAAGTCTTTCCTTGTGCTGTAATTACTAAGCGAAAAAGCCAATAAAGATGCCCCATAACGTTAACGATAGCGAATGGAAAAACACTGTTGGCAGCGTAGCTATCCATTACGCATTAGAGCTTCAACTAAAGAGGATTGTCAGCTACTTCAGTCGTGGACCCAACACAACAGAGGTTGGACTTAAGGCGATTGATAGAACCAAGTAAGAATTTCATTCAGACTGGGACTACGGTTGTAATGCGATGCCAAGGTGGCCAATAGCTAGAGACTGTAGCTAGATGTAGGGAGGACTGAAGATATTTTTTCCTTAATTTTTAAGCGTTAAGCTCCTTATGGTCGAGGCTTGCTACAATGTTGGCCTTGTGCGCCGTAGCAGCCACTGATGATGATAATGAAAAACAAGTGCGTTACAGACCACACATTCTCTTTCTGCCACTGCAGCACAGCACAAGCATGACACGGCACCCACTACACATCCATGACGATGATGCTCGTGGCAGTAACAAACAAGCACGTTCCAGACCACACATTTTTTTTTTTTTTTTTTTTTTCATTTATTCCACCTTAAAGGCCCGGAGGCATTACATAAGGGGGGGCGGCGTACAAGGTATGTCGAACAACTCAACAAAACTCGAAGGGTTCCAAAACGTAAACATTCAAAGAACAATGAAAAAAAAAAAAAAAAGGTACAATATGCAAAGTAAAACGCCAATATTACCAAATGCAAATAAAAAAGTAATGGTACAAAGGTAAGCTTCCAGAGAAAAGTGACGACAGTTTATACATTAGTTAAAAAAAAGTATTTAAACATTGGCAGGGAAAACAGCACATTCAGTTAGATTGCGACATGTGACATTTTAGCTTACTGCGGAAAATTTGGCGGTTATTACACGTGACTATATTATCAGGTAGTTTATTCCACAGTGTTATCCCATTGGGAAAGAAGGAAGTAATCATTGCAGAAGTGTGTCCATTTATTGGTGCGATAGGGTGACTGTGGTTTATGCGGGATGAAGTTCTGTGTGATGGTTGAAGGAGGACGTGCCGTGATTGAGGGTGATAATAGAAAGCATGCATCAGACACAATCGAGAAATGATACGACGAGATTCGAGGGACGGCAGTTTCAATGATTCTTTTAGTGCAGTAACGCTGATATCGTTAGAGTATTGGGAGTAAATAAAACGGGCAGCGCGGTTCTGAATCCTTTCTAAATCGTTAGTTAGATATGTTTGTGAGGGTTGCCAAATTGAGCAAGCATATTCTAGTTTCGGTCGGACGTACGTTTCATAAGCTAATTTTTTAATGTCTGGTGAGGCTAATTTTAGGTTGCGGCGCAGGTATCCGAGAGTGCGTGAAGCTTCTGAACAGATTATTTGAATATGGGTTGACCAGGATAGTGACGATGACAGATGCACTCCGAGGTATTTGTATGATAGGGTAGGGCTAATGGGAACAGACTTTATGCTATAGGTAAATTTTTCTGGGCTCTTTTTGCGGGTGAATGACATAATTTTACACTTAGTTAGGTTTAACGGCATTAGTGACTTATCACACCAAGTTACAATTAAATTTAAATCATGTTGAAGTTTAATGCTGTCGTCTGGTGTACAGATTGGAGAGTATAAAACGCAGTCATCGGCAAAAAGTCTTAATTTGGTTAGCACATTGGTGGGTAAGTCATTTATGTATATTAGAAAAAGGAGCGGGGAGAGACAGGCACCTTGGGGGACGCCGGACGTTACGTCGGAAAGAGGTGAGTCGTGGTCATTAGCGCTGGTGAACTGCTTACGGTTTTTTAGAAAATTTTCTATCCAGAAAATTATGTTGGGAGGGATTCCAAGGTTGCATAGTTTAGAGAGTAAGAGGTTATGAGGAACACGGTCGAATGCTTTAGAGAAATCTAAAAATATGGCGTCAGTTTGAAGATTTTCATCCATGAAGTGAAGAATATCATGTGTGAATTCGGCCAGTTGTGTTTCGCATGATAGTTGTTTCCGGAAACCATGTTGGTGATCGAAGAAAAATTTGATGGATTCCAGATATGTCATTAGGTTTGAAGCTATAATATGTTCGAGCATTTTAGATGGGATGCTGGTTAAGGAAATAGGTCGGTAGTTAGCTGGGATTGCGCGGTTGCCTGATTTAAAGATGGGAATAACCTGAGCTTTCTTCCAATCGTCTGGGACGTTTCCTGTTTGTAATGATTGTGTGAAGATTAGGCAAAGTATTTGGCTTGAGACAGAAACGGTATTTTTTAGTAATTTACTGTTAATACTGTCGCAGCCCGCCGAGGATGAAACTTTAAGATTGTTAATGAGTAGGAATATTCCTTTTGGGGTAATTTCAATTTCTGGCATCGCTACAGTTGCAGATTCGGGCAGTGTTACGGTATCAGTGGTGGTGGCAGAGGAAAACACAGACGTAAAGTGGTCATTTAAAGCAGAAGCGCACTGGTCAGCGTGTATTGGTTCTCCGTCAGCGTTAGTGAGGCTTATTCGATTAGATTGTGACTTGGGGGACAGCATGCGCCAAAATTTGCTGGGATTTGATTGAAGAATTGATAGTAGGTCATGGGAAAAGAATTTGATTTTTGCAGCTTTTAGTTCGGTTAAGTACTGATTAGCGCACGCGCGGTAGCGCTCCCACGCAGTTGAACTTTGGCTTAGGCGGGCCGTTCTGTACAAGCGTTTCTTTCGGTTACAGAGTAATTTAGCTGTTTGTTAAACCATTGGCAGTTTGAATCTGATTTAATGAGGGTAGAAGGAATGTATTTGTTTTTGAGGTTAAGCATTGTAGTCTTAAAAAGTTCCCAGTTACAGTTGACACTTCGTTTTAGGTGAGTATTCCTAAAGTTTTCTAAGAAGTTGGCGAGTTCGTGATTAATCGCATCAAAATTTGCTCTCTTGTAATCCGTGATTACCTTCCGTGTGGGTGATTTCTTTTTAAGCGGGGAGGCGATGCAAATATGGATTAGGTTGTGGTCACTAAGACCAGGGAGCGTATTAATGGTTTTTATGTCGTCAGGGCTCGAAGTTAGCAGGAGGTCTAGTATGTTATTGCCCCTGGTAGGGCACGTAATAGCCTGGTGAAGGTTAAAATCAAGGGCAGTGTTTAAAAATTGTTGCTCTTTAGATGATGTCCCATTCGACGCTGAAAGCAACGACCAACTGATTGAAGGATAATTGAAGTCCCCAAACAAAAATATAGGTGCATTAGAATGTTTATTTGTAATGGTGTGGAGGGATTGATGAAGTAGGTCGCAGAAGTCGGGGTGGCTGTCTGGCGGCCTATAGCAGACGCCAAAAACAAATTTCGAGGCTCCGTTGGAGACAAGAACCCAGATTAATTCTATTTTATCGTCATGGAAAATAAGTGAGGATGCTAGAGTGTTTTTAATAGCTATGAGCACGCCACCTCCTTTCTTACTTTTGCGATCCCGGCGAAAAATTGTAAAATTTAA